AATCTGTTTTGCAAGTATGTGTGATGTTGCAATAGCTTCAGCCCAAAGCTTGTTAGATAACTTCTTCTCTTCGATCATTGATCTTGCCATCTCTACAAGCGTTCTGTTTCTTCTTTCCGCTATACCATTTTGTTGTGGAGAGTAGGGAGTCGTTATCTCATGATGTATGCCACTCTCTTGACATAGTTTGATGAATTCTCTCGATAGAAATTCACCACCTCCATCTGTTCTAAGCCTTTTGATCCGATTCTCCGATTGGTTCTCCACATAAGGCTTGAATATCTTGAACTTTGTGATCACTTCACTCTTGTTTTTCAAGAAATATACCCACGTCATTCTTGAGAAATCATCAATAAACGTGAGGAAGTACTTGCTCCCGTTTATTGACTCCGTTTGCATTGGACCACACACGTCCGAATGAATAAGCTCCAAGGTTTTGTTTGTGTTGCTTTGAGATTTCTTTGGAAAGCTCCTCCTTGGTTGTTTTCCCATCTCACAAGCCGAACATACGCCTTTTATTACTTCGAATTTTGGAAGATCTTCTACACTCTTTAGCGTTTGCATTTTCTCCATCTTGTCATAGTTCACATGACCAAAACGCTTGTGCCAGAGATTCGTTTGTTCTTCTTTTTCTTCGAAAGCCACATATGCTTCTTCTCTTGAATTTTTCCAACGAATTGGAAAGCTTCTGTTCTTCATCTTGATCTCCAAGATTTTTCTTCCTTTTACGTCTTGAATCACACACTTGTTGCCTTCAAAGATGACCCGATATCCATTTGATATCATTTGGGAGACACTAAGCAAATTTCTTGCTAGTTCGGGTACATAAAGTACATCTTTGATGACATGATCTCCTTTGGTTGTGGTTACTCTTATGTCTCCTTTGCCTTCGGAAACGACTTTCCCACCATTACCAATCTTTATGGTAATTTTCTTGCTGCGATCCAAGGTTATGAAGTATCTAATGTCTTTAGACATGTGATTGGTGCACCCACTATCTACCAACCACGTTTCTTCTTTGATTGTTGAGATCTCTTTTTCTTCAACAGCACTAAATAGCATATGACACCCATCTTCATCTTCATCTTCTGATTCTTCAATACTTAGATGTGCTCTTTCACCTTTTCTAAGTTTACAATCTTTGGCTATGTGTCCTGGCTTGTCGCACACGTAGCATCTTCTTTCATAGTTTGCACCTCTTTGTGAAACGCTTTCACTCTTCTTTCTGAAACAATCTACCTCATTGTGATTGTTCTTCTTACACACGCCACACTACATGTTGGTCTTCCCATGGCGATCTTTGTTTTGCTTGTTTCCTCCTCTTGAACCAAGCTTTTCTCCATAAAACGCACCCTCATTGATACGATCTTCTCGGAGATTTAAACGCCTCTCATGCGCCTTCAATGTTCCTATCAACTCTGTGACAGAAAGAGTTGATAGATCTTTTGTTTGTTCAAGTACCGCAACGATGCTGTCGAATTGTTGTGGTACGGAGATTAGAATCTTTTGAACCACTTGGTAATCGGACTTCTCTTCTCCATGAACTCTTAGTTGATTACTCAGATTAATCAACTTGGTTGTGAAATCATTTATGGTTTCACCTTCCTCCATCTTCAGATTCTCATACTCTCTTCTCAAAGTCTGAAGATTGATCATCTTTACTTGTGAACTTCCTTGGAACTCCATTTCCAAAGCATTCCAAGCATCTTTTGCAGTCGACGCGGGAGCAATTCTCGGAAATATAGATTCTGAGACTGCACTTTGAAGGATTTGGAGAGCCAACATGTCTTTCATCAATTGATCTTCTCTCTCTCTAATCGATTCCGATGTGCTTTCAGAAGATGGATTCGCCGTGACTCCATTTTCGACAATCTCCCATAACTTTCGTGTCTTCAAGATGGTAATCATTTTGATTTTCCAGAACCCGTATGATTCACCATTGAAAATTGGAATAACTTGCTGCATTGTTGTCTCCATAGCTCTGATACCATGTAGAACTTTGAACTCTCAAAGTGTTTAAGGATCGGACAACACAGATTTTACTCTGTTTTGTCTTACCTCTCTGTTTTGTATAACGTAAAACCACACACTTTTATTAGATATATAAACTGTATTTATAGTTTTACATGACACACTTTGACTAAGGGACACGTCTCTACAAGACAACCCAATGTGGAGACACATACATACACGTGTAACTGTTTTGCAGTTAACAATTCTATTCGTATCTCTTCGGTGTGTAATACGAATAGTTTATACATAACAAAACTCAGTTACTTAACTCTATAATATAAGACTCTAAATAAAACTACCATGAAGACTTGATCACGACCAACAAAATGGACTCCATATTTTCTAGTACTAAATATTCATATAATTTTTATGTCAAAAAAATATTGCAAAACTTTATCATCGCACCCTAATCAAAGCGTCTTCACCAGATTGGATGGATTTATGGTGGACATATATGCGCCTTTAATTTAAGGACCCGTTTTAGCGACTTCAGTGCAAGCCGCTGGAACCAACTTTCCGGAGAGAATAGGCTTGATGTTAGAACATGCCGAGACAGCTGGTCCCTCTTTGCCGTTGTGGACCAAGTTGATGTCAGCGAGAGCAATATTGGTGCAAGGAACGCCTTTACTGCACATTAGCTTCACAGCCACCTTTGTTGCTGATGTACCCTTAATGTTCTTGATAGTCACGTCCGACAACTTCACTTTCGATGGTACCTTCATGTATATTAATTGGAGAGAGATTTATAAATTTGACCAATATATACATATACTACCAAACAAACCAAAATATATATATTATTGTGTCAAAATTTGAGTACTAGATAGTTTTATGTATAGATTCGATTCGGTTACATACCCCAGCTTTGCAGTGGCCATAAGGACAGTACTCTTGGTCGATGAGAACGGGGGTGCTAACATTGTCCATTGTGATATCTTCGAAAAGAATGTTGGAGGCGATACCGGGGGGAGATCCTGGCCATGTCTTGATGCGAACACCATTGTCAGTGTTCTTGATGAGGCATTTCCTCACAGTGACTCCTTTTACTGGTTGCTCATTAGGGTATCTTCCGAGACTTCCAATGGAAATTCCGTGTCCCGGTCCACATTCTACGTTCTCAACAATGAGATTTTCGGTACCATCTCCAATGGAAACGCAGTCATCTCCGGTTTTAATCTTTGCCCCTAATAAGTTGACGCCATTGGACCTTCCGATGTGGATCCCATCGGTGTTGAGACTCTCCGGAGGTGCATCAATACCAATATCCTCAAGAGTTATGTTTTTGCAGTTAAGGATGTTCATGTGGAAAAGTTTGCTGTTTGTTGATGTAATACTCTTAATTTTCGAGTTTGTTAGACCCGTGAATCGGATGTTCTGTTACAATATAATAACCCATATAATTATCATATTATTCCATGAAAATAATGTTTTTATTGTAATATGTAAAAAGTTGAATGTGCTTACGATGGGGAGAGAGTTGCATTTGCCGGTTTTGGCGCAGTCATTGGCCTTCCAAGCGAGGGAACCTTGACCGTCAAAAATGGCTCCGTTTCCATTCAAAGTGAAATCAGCGATGTTTTCGAAATCAATCCATCCGGAATGAGGTTTAGAGGTCTTGACCGTAGCCGGAGCCTTAAGATTGCCATTCAATTCCAAAGTGACTGGACCTTTGCATGGACCTTTGAACTCTAGGCTCTCTACCAAATACTCACCTTTGGGCACTGTAATCGTGCTCCCTGCTGCACAAGCTTCTTTCCATGCAGCCGCAAATGCCTATACATGAAATTCTTTTTTAACCCATACAAAATCGAATATAATACAATATATCCAACATTTGGTACGTACCGCACTGTCATCAGTTTTGCCATCTCCTTTAGCTCCTGATGCTTTAACATCAAGTGATGCACCGCCTGCTTTGGCTCCTGGTACTTTAACACCAACTGATGCAGCTGCATCTTTTGCTTTATCGCCAACTGTTGTAGCTGCTTCACTGACTTTATCACCAACTGATTCTGCTGCATCTTTTGCTTTATCGACAACCGGTGTCCCGTTTACTATTGTGGTGGCCATAACCACTAATACCACAAGAAGCACTCCGCTTGCTCTGCGAAAACCCACCATTTTCTTATTCTCCTTTTATTGATTTTGTTTTTATTTTATTTTTTCTTTTGTTTATTCTTTTCTTTTGTTTTTGTGTTTATTGATGTTTTGTTCTGATGATTCCAGAGTCCGTTTTATAGAGGAGTAAAGGGAGATCAAAACCACAAACTCTTGCGTTGCTAAAAATAATTCCGAGGATTATGCTTAAGGTAGAAGAATGACCAATTCATGGAGGCCGATCCCTTTCTTTTTTGGGTTAATTGCAGGGCAGGGCAGAAGAACATGTTTTATTTTCACGGTTTGGCAAAGTGAGTTTCATCTCTCACATTTTGGCAATTAAGCCAAATTCTGACCAAAATACCCTTGCTAGCGTAACGATGTACTGTTCCATGTACGGTTTAGTTATGTGATTTAGTTATGTACAGTGTTTCTAGTTGGGTTCAGATATTTTTGTTTTTAATTCTTTTCTGCGGTTGTACAGTGAAAATGAAGGCTTAATAACATTAAAATACTATGTGACATCAGGATTAAATGCCAAAAAAGTTTAGACATGACTGTTACCCACTTTAATTAATACAAACTCATCATTACCTCTTATAATATTTGTTTATACTTATGAATAATTTTAAGAGATAAACAAGAAAAAACAAACAAACAAATTTTTATGAACAAATGTGATGCTGGAGAAGTTTTGATTTTGTTGTTTTACAAAGTTTGGAGACAAGAGAAGCATTGATCGTGTAAGTAATGAAGTTGTTTAAGAAGTTTTTTCTTATAACACACTTGATCGTGACTGTGTACGAAATCAACATTGGTTTTGATATAAAAATCCACAAATTTTTATTTCCATTTTTGTTTTGTTGCAAATGCTAAATGAGGATATATAGTTATTAGTTATGTTTATAAAGTGTGTAGTTGGAAATTCTTTTTGTTTTTGTAGATTTAATCATGTTTTCAGTTGCATTTAATGGGGTTCTGCTGAATTTATGATGCAGGTGGGTAATGGATATTCTAGTATTTAATATGGTTGGTGAATGGTGATGCAAAGAAGAAGAATGAAAATTCGAACCAGAGGAAAGCAGGTTTGGTCGGTGTGTACGTGTTAAGGAAAACATGACGTACATGTGTACGTACATTATGTGAGGTTTTCAGTTTGAAGTCCACTGAATGCAATTATATAATTAGTTACTGGATGCCGGTAAAGATGTCAATGATGATAGAAAGTAAATGTCCTCCTGTCTAAATTGACAATTAAATGAGCCTGGATACATTCTTTTTGATTCGTGGTGGGGATACTAGTGAACTTCTTTGTCTCTTTTATTACAACCGTCAAGGCAGGCGGAAATACTGTCTCTAGGAATGATGGCCATGATGCTAAAAGTGACCATGTGTCTGGGAGTGCAAAGACACCAAAAACCATTGTAGCGCCTTTAAATGTGGATGCAAATAATGAGGCCGTAGATGAGCAAGACGACATTGAGGACGATAAAACAGATAGAGATGAAGAGGAGGAGGACAACAAAGAGGGTGATGGGTATGATGTTCATCAAGGCGACGATGAATGGGGGAAAGTACCCTCGATCCTACTATAGATAGTAGTGAAGGTAGCGGCGAAAATTACGATTACAACAAGTGGAATGAAGTAATTGTAGAAGAATATGGAATTGGGAATGTTGAGGAGGACGTTATTCTCACTCAACAGACTGTTGAACATTCAGGGGAATTCAGTCGTCTATTGGCAGAGTGTACGTACACAAGTCAGCGTGTACCTGGCGGAGATAACATTTCTCATTTGGGTGACCGTACACCAACCGTGACTCCAACACGTACGTTTCGATATAGTTTGTACCAATGTACGTACACTAGCGAATGTG